TATTTCTCAGAATTGCAACTTTATTTCTCAGAATTGCGACTTTATTTCTCAGAATTGCGACTATTTCTCAGAATTGCAACTTAATTTTTCAGAATTGCGACTATTTCTCAGAATTGCAACTTAATTTTTCAGAATTGCGACTATTTCTCAGAATTTCAACTTAATTTTTCAGAATTGCGACTATTTCTCAGAATTGTGACTTTATTTCTCAGAATTGCAACTTCATTTCTCAGAATTGTAAGTTTATATCTTGAAATTCTGACTATTTCTCAGAATTGTGACTTTATTTCTCAGAATTGCGACATTTTCTCTCAGAATCGCGACTATATCTCAGAATCATGCAATTCTGACTTTATAACTCGAAATTGCGTGTTCCTATCACACAATTTAGAACTGATAGATAAAATTACAATTACCTTAATTTTTTTTCAATCAGTGCCAGAAATGGGCTTCCATACTTTACAATCCAAATATCTGACAGACAGAATTTTGAAATATTAAAAAAACAGATCCCATGTTGAACATGAAAACAAAATCCAGTGTGGAATTATTACACTATATTACATACATTATGAATAATTTACTGTCATTGTGTGAATAATATGTAATCCATAAAAAGTGACTGTAGTCTGATCACAAGCATTTTAAAATGTAATATAATCTAATTACAGGTACTAAATGTTTAGAATCAGATTACATAATCCGGATTACATGTAATCAGTTACTATCCAGCACTGACAGAAGCTGCTGAATGGGACTGAACGGTGACTTTACATATAAATACATATGCTCTGCAGTTTAACGTCCCTCAGATGTCAGACTGCATATTTACCCATAATCCTCTGACATGCTTTCAGCGGGTTTATGTATCTACATGTGCGATCCTCAATCTGCTGTCTATCATCATCATCATCATCATCAAAGCCTCTGCTCTTCATCAGTCAGCTGACGTGTTTATTTGATGGCAGTTTCGAGTTTGAAGCACTACAAAAGCCGCTCATAACTCTGGAAGTGCTGCTTTGTTCCTCACGCCACCTTCATCTTCAAGCAGCTCTGATATTTGTTTGATTTAGTCAGACGCAGCAGCGAGAGACGCATGTGATGAGGAACAAAACCGGCCATATGGACTTTCATGGAGAAATGCTTGAGTTGAGAGTGGAAAGATGGGAAAACACAAGGTCACAGCTGAGAACCGAGCGATTACGGCTGATACGGGAAACTGATCACCTGATCATGAGAGCTGTGTGGTTACCAAGAGATCAGACGCACCGTATTTACCTGAAGTGTACTTGCAATAGTTCCACTTTAGCACAATCACATATATACGAAGCATATCTTTAACTGGACTTCAGCACTACTTCCGCACAACTGAAGTGCATTAAGCACAAAATTAGTTGTTCCAATTTAGCAGACTTTAAGTTTACCAGTTTAGTATACTAAAAGTACAACTGCATGGCATTTTATTAAGTACATAAATATGAAAATGTATTTGTAGTATACTTAGCATGAAATAAATGTATTTCAAATACATTTAAGTATATTTATTTTTCACTAGGGTATAGATTGTTTTGTTTTGTCTTTAACAAGAAGATTTGAAGAATCTAAGCTATCAATCAAATATTCACTCAAACAGTAGCAGACAGTACAGGTTAAATAACTGCTGTGATTTTGGTGAATGTCTCAAAACTCTCTCGGTTTTTTCCAGCAGAAGTTTTGAAGTTTCTTCACGCTTCTCCAGAAGCTGCTGAATCACATCAGCGTTCATTTCATCTGCATTGATCTCTGTGAATTACGGGATGGCAGATCTTGTTATGTTTGGCCTACTGTACAAAAGTACAAGGTGAAATTGAGTTAGAGCGGCAGAAGAGTCATGTTAACGCACCTTCCTGCTTCATTATGGTTTCAAGGCTGAGTTAATGCACTCGTCTCATATCAGCTATCAGTTTCTGGGAGACGTTGAGTGGAA